TGCCCTTTTCCTGTCTATTTTCGTTTTCAGTCTTCTTGTTACCGTCAATCTCCTGTTGCCTCACAGCACACCGAGAGCCTCTGTACCGGAGTAAACGCCTGAATGTCCGGACGTACCTGGCCATTAAAGATGATTCTGATACGGTCCCATTAAGCACAGTAACGAGCACGGGCTGTTCAATGACGCTCGTTTCTCCATAAACGTTTCCCCTGATCTTAACCAGAACCGAACCGCAGACGGGAGGAAACACACTGAAAGCTAAAATAAACACATTCTCATAAGATATAAAATATTTAAACAGGAGTATTATTATTATCGAGGACTGTGGTGCACTGACAGAAAGGCCAGTTTGTTGAGTTGACCTTTAAAATGTGACAGCAGATTTTGATTTTGTTTTAATCACCTGAAATAATGTAGCTACAGCAAAAATGGCTACAGCTGACCTCCGTCACGGTAAATCAGGTTGGTAAATCTAACAACTAATACAACCATTTCAAAACAAACAGTGCTAACTACTAGCACACTATCGTCTGCCGTTACTAAATCGCTACTCTTGTTTCGCCAGTTTAAGACATATAACGTTAATACAACACTAATAAAGATGGCGGTGTTATCGTGTCAAGTTACCAATTAGGCTCAGGGAACTCAGATCCTGGTTTTTGAGGGGCACCTTTTCCACATGATTAGGCAAACCACCGTCATTGATATCTGTAATCTCCACATCGTCCATTTCTGACAAATACAATCAACGCTGCCTCTGTAAGGCACAAAAACTCTCTCCCGTGCTAACTATGAAATGCTATCGGTTCTTAGGTTACGTGTAACTCCTTCCTATGTCAACCATCTTTAAGCCTTCTTCTTCTTCTGCTTCTTCTTCTTCTTCTTCTTCTTCTTCCTCCTCCTCCTCTTCTTCTTCTTCTTCTTCTTCTTCTTCAGTACGGCAGTCTACACGCAGCAAAAGCATATTGCTGCCCTCCTAAGGTTGAAAGTAATCTTGGTCATATTATTCCATCCAGCCTATATTTGTTGATATGGTCCAGTGGCAGGAAGGACATCCATCAGTTTCTTTGATTATTTGATCATATTTGTACATTGAAGCATGCTTTTTAGTCTGTACCTGTCCACACCACTGATAAGAGATGGACAAACTGACCGTGATACACTGGTTTTCTGAAGAGTGGTTTTGAAGTCTGGCTGCCCCCCTTAGTGCTTCATTCTGTCTTCTATGGCTAATGCAAAAATGTGCATAACATTTAGTCTCAGTATAATTTCAACCGGTGAGATATATAAAAATTCACCCCCGCCATCCACCATTCGAGGATCTGCAGGTTTTGGCACTTCTGCGTTGGCTTAAAGTAGTGATGGAGAAACCGAAGCTTTCTGAACCAATATGAAGCAATTATGTTGAAATGGTTCAGTGTTTCAAAGCATGTGATACAATCATATATGGCGCCATCTACTGGCCAACCCTCAACAGAGCATTTGCATGGATCAATAAAGGGCAAGGTGTCATGTAACTGTACAGCACTGTTACAGTGGGGCAAATAAGTATTTTAATACACCGCCGATTTTTCAAGTTTTCCCACTTACAAAGAATGGACAGATCTGTAATTTTCATCGTAGATATACCTCAACTGTGAGAGACAGAATCTACAAAAAAAATTCCAGAAAATCACATTGTTAAATTTTTTAATAATTTATTTCCATTTTATTGCATGAAATAAGTATTTAATAAAATAGAACTTAATATTTGGTACCGAAACCTTTGTTTACAATTACAGAGGTCAGACGTTTCCTGTAGTTCTTGACCAGGTTTGCACACACTGCAGCAGGGATTTGCGCACTGCACACCCTCAGGGTTAGGGTGTGGACGTCAGTCACCCATGAGGAGCTCGGAGTAGAACTGTTGCTCCTCCATGTTGAGAGGAACCAGTTGAGGCGGCTTTGGCACCTGTTCAGGATGCCCCCTGGACGCCTCCCTAGGGAGGAGGCCTCGGGGCAGACCCAGGACACGCTGGAGAGACTATGTCTCCCAGCTGGCCTGGGAACACCTTGGGGTTCCTCCTGAGGAGCTAGAGGAGGTGTGTGGGGAGAGGGAAGTCTGGGGGGCTCTGCTCGGACTACTGCCCCCATGACCCAGTTCCGGATAAGTGGATGAAGATGGATAGATGGATGGAAGGATGGACGTTTCCTTACTGTGCATTGGACAAATACTCTGACTTGACTTGAGTTTGACTAATGCGACATTTTTGTATTTCTATCAATCTTGCATTGGGATATTTTTATTAGACAGTATTTTAAGGTGGCACAAAACAAACCACAATGGCATTAATTAATATCAATTTTTCCTTCATAGATAGGTAAACAATGGTATATGTATCGATGAAAAGAGGTGTGTAACACTTTTTTACCATCACAAATACAGTGCAACACCATACTTACACCATACAACACCATCAGGGTGGGGGCTACATGCTGTCATAATATTATATAATATAATATCTATCTGCTATAACAAAATTACAATTTCTCCATAATAACACTACAAAACATAAGAATATTATTAGTAATAAATTTAAAGTCTAAATCTGCAAACTACCAGTGGAGGGCAGCAATACACCTTAGATACCTTTAGTCTGCTGCAAAGCCTATCAAAAAAAAAAGGAAGAAGAAGAAGAAGCAGAAGAAGAAACATTTGAAGTAGCCTTTGTTCCGGATAGTAGCGTGGTTGGGGTATTGTACGTCTATAGACGCTTTGCTGTAAAAGTTTGTAACGTAAGTTGTTGGCTTCGATATGGTAAAATTATCTGCGGAGCTAATTGAGCAGGCCGCTCAGTATACAAACCCTGTGAGAGACAGAGAGCTGGATTTACGAGGTAAGTTAAAATGATCACGACACCATAGCTGCATATGTTAGCTGGTCCGTGCTTAACGCAAACGTGACAGCATTGGTTTTATAATTTCTGATATGAACAGAAAAAGTATAATAGTCTCTGCCTAAGCTACAGGTGTTGTACTGTGTAGCTTCCAGCTGCTACTTTGCGATAACGTCTGAAAACTGGTGCCCTCAGTGGAACATAAAAAGTAGTGCCCATGGCATGTAGATGGCACTACGTCCTGCCAAGAGTCCCAAGTTGCAATGCTCCGCGTTTTGCAGAGAAAATGACCGCTGAGTTCCACGGTTGTTAGTGGAAGTTAGATTAAGGCTATACAGTGAGTGATTTGGGACACAGTCACAGACTGGTGACAACGCGGCCGCCATGTACGGACGAGAATGTAACGTAATAATGTAACGTTTATGAGCGCTTTTTTTAAATTTTGAAACGTAATGGCAGTGTTATATGGTTGAATATTAAGTGGCTCACAGAAAACATGCCCAAATGACTACGTTCTGGGCGGAAAACAGAACGTAACTAAAAGAAAAAAGCTAAGAAAAAACACTGTACAAACATAAAAAATTACCAGAACTTAAGTGAAGGTTATTGCTTATACTTCATTAATATGTCATTGAGATTTAAAGCATAGGTATTGTCCGTCTTCTCTTAAGATTTAATGTACAATGAGGATGGGTGATGTAGAATATTTACACTTATGAGCTGAGTTTTGGCGGCGTCATTATTGCGAGTTATTTAATTGTATTCCGAGTGAAACTTTGTCGGTGAGTGGGGTTGAGTTTGTTGAATCTGTAGGCTCAATTTCTGTTCTTAATCCTCTTCCGGCTCTTTCAAACCAGGAACTCACAAAGACGAAGTAGACCACTTGGATTATATAAAAAATAACCGTGCTGGTTTATTCAGAGGATCACAGGTAAAATTAACATTACACGTCTAGATCTCTCCCACCACCAAACCTGCGCGCATGCAGCTTGGAAGATGAAAGACGCTGAACCCAAGAACCTATACAATTTTAATCACTTGGTTGGGATAGCCCATTCTACCCAGGCACGTCAAACCGTGACGTCACCTGATATGCCAGCTTGCAGCTGACCATAACAATAGTCAAAACATGAGGAAAGTCAAGATGTGTGGCTGTTGATTTGTGGTGTGTATCTAAAATATTATGATTACCATTGCCCGCCTCCAGAGGGTCCAGAATGCCGCCGCTCGGCTATTGGTTGGGGGACATAAGAAGGACCACATAACGCCTGTACTGGCATCTCTCCACTGGCTTCCGGTGCGTTTTGGGGTTCATTTTAAGATTCTCTTATTTGTTTATAAATCTTTAAATGGGCTGGCACCTTCTTATCTTGTGGAACTTTTGCGTCCGTATAATCCATCGCGGTGCCTCAGATCAGCAGATCAGCTTCTTCTGGAGGCACCAAGGGCCAGGCGGAAAACTAGGGGGGACAGAGCCTTTGCTGTGGTAGGTCCAAAACTGTGGAATGCCTTGCCGCTTTATATTAGGCAGGCCCCCTCACTGTCCACTTTTAAGTCTTATTTGAAGACCTACTTCTATTCATTGGCGTTTGACCAGGAATGACACTCTGTCCATAGTGTTAGTGTTTATATTACTGTCTATAGCTTTTTATGTGTTGTTTTTATATCTGTATAATATGTTAAGTGCTTTGGTCAGCTGTGCTGTGGTAAAGCGCTATATAAATGAAGTTGAGTTGAGTTACAGTTAATAATAACAATCACCTCCTGCCTGTAGCCTTTGTCTTATTTTAATTGACCTTGGCCTCGATGCAGTCTGCAGAGCTCATGACACTGACTAAACATTTAACAGCCTGAGCTAGACATCCTGGCTACACTAAACATTTCTAGACAACAAATCTCTAAATATCTATCTGACTAAGAAATTACCTAACAAATCTTTTAAAACCAATGAAGTTTCCCAAGCAATAAGTAATTTGTCTCAAAATAATTCTACTGGGCTGGACTGCATTTCTGTTGAACATCTTAAGTACGCTAGTCTCAGGTTGTCTCCTCTTCTAGCCATATGCTTTACTGCCTCTGTTATGCACGGGTTTCTGCCTGACTCTTTGATGTCAGTACTTTTGGTTCCTATGGTGAAGGATAAAGCAGGGAAGGTGGGCAGCTCGGATAATTATAGACCTATTGCACTTGCTAATATTCTTTCAAAAGTTGCTGAAGAACTTCTTTTGAGTAGGTTTCACAATCTTATTAGCTCCACTGTAAAACAATTTGGGTTTAAAACTAACAATGGCACTGATATGTGTATATTTGCACTAAAGGAATGAATCCATAAGTATAAAAGTAAAAACTCTACTGTATTCATGTGCTTTTTAGATGCCTCCAAAGCTTTTGACCGAGTTAATCATAGGAAACTAGAAAATTGCATTTTCTGAAGAAAATGCGTATGGATGCGGAGTGCTGAAAGATCACCCTGAAAATGCTGAATATTTTGACACCTGAATGCTTTTTCTAGCTGAAATTATGCTGAAGTTGGAATTTCCCATTCATTTGAATGGAGCAAGATTTTCAAAATAAAGCAAAATATTTCAAAAGTATGAAGTTTAGAAAACTTCTAAAGAGAAGCATGAATGTCCTTGAAGAGCTGAACATTTTGATACCTGAAATAGCTGAATGTATATAGAAGTAAAATTTTCACATTCATTTGAATGGGGCATGATTTTCAAAATAAAGTTAAATACTTCAAAAGTATGAAATTTAGAAATCTTCTGAAGAGAAGCATGAATGTCCTTGAAGAGCTGAACATTTTGATACCTGAAATAGCTGAATGTATATAGAAGTAAAATTTTCACATTCATTTGAATGGGGCATGATTTTCAAAATAAAGTTAAATACTTCAAAAGTATGAAATTTAGAAATCTTCTGAAGAGAAGCATGAATGTCCTTGAAGAGCTTAACATTTTGATAGCTGAAAGTGTGCTGAAGAAGAATTTTCCCATTCATTTGAATGGTACAGGATTTTCAAAATAAAGCTAAATATTTAAAATGTATGAAGTTAAGAAAACTTCTGAGTAGTAGTATGAAGAAGGATGGACTGCAAGTTTCACTTCAAATTTTGAAGGACTGTTGGCGCAACTATCAGAGGACTGTGGAAGAAGCCAAGCGAGAGTATTTGTCTAGTATTGTTGTAGCTAATAGCCCACGTGTTATATAAAGCAATAGGGACGGTCTTAAATCCCCCACAGCCTGTTTATCTGGAAGCAACGATTGAACTATGTAATAAGTTTTTATCTTTTTTTAATGAGAAGGTGGCTGCTACAAGGGCACCTGTGTTAGGGTCAGCGCCTGATCCTTCGGTTTATGCTCCTTTTTTGTTTATTTTTGATGCATTTGAGCCGGGGACTCGGAGGGAGTGGTTGCCCAGGCTAGGCCATCTGGCTCTCCTTGTGATGTTGTTTCCTTGGCTCTATTTAAGGAAGTCTTCCCCTGAATTGGAAGAACGGTTTTGGATATTGTTAACAGTAGTTTGTCCTCCAGTACTGTCCCTGGTAATTTCAAGCATGCAGTTCTGCAGCCTCTGCTCAAGAAGCCAGGTCTGGATCAATCCATACTGAGTAATTTCAGGCCCATTTCAAAGTTGCCTTTTATTTCGAAGATTTTGGAAAAAGTGGTCTATATGCAGGTGAAGTCCTTCCTAGACGAGAATAACTTATTGGAGGTTTTTCAGTCTGGTTTTAAAACTCTGCATAGTACAGAGTCATCCTTATTGAAGGTTGTTAATGATATTTATTTGGCCACTGATGCAGGTGAATATGTGATTCTTGCCCTGTTGGACTTGACTGCCGCCTTTGACATGGTTGACCATAACATTTTAATATCTCGGCTTCAGGATTTGGTGGGCATTCGTGGTGCTGCCCTAGCGTGGTTTAAATCATATCTATCGGGTAGATCGGTGTCTGTCAGGTTGACAGATGCTGAATCTGTGACAACCCCTTTGTTATCAGGGGTCCCACAGGGCTCAGTTTTGGGACCTCTGTTTTTTTCACTGTATTTACTTCCCCTTGGCTCTATTGTTAGGAAACATGGTGTCTCTTTTCATTGTTATGCTGATGACGTACAGATTTTTATGCCATTGAGTATAAAGGACACCTACTCGATTCAGCCACTTCTATCGTGTCTTGCTGATATTAGGGGCTGGATGTCGTTAAGTCGTTTAAAGTTAAATGATGCCAAAACTGAAGTTATAGTGTTTGGCCCGAATACGTCTGATGACCTTCCCTCGGTAGATTTAGGGTTCTTGGGGCAGTATGTGCGACCAGTGATCACTGACCTAGGTGTTAAAATAGACTCCAACTTGACAATGGAAAGCCAGATAAACGCGGTCGTAAAATCTGCTTTTTTTTTCTATCTTAGGCAGTTAGTGAAAGTAAAGTCCTTTTTGTTGCGGCAGCATTTTGAGACGTGATCCATGCGTTGTTACATCTCACATGGATTACTGCAATGTATTGTACTCTGGAGTCAGTCAATCAGGTCTTGCCCGCCTCCAGAGGGTTCAGAATGCTGCTGCTCGGTTATTGGTAGGGGGCATAAGAGGGACCATATAACTCCAGTTCTGGCATCTCTTCACTGGCTTCCTGTGCGTTTTAGGATTCATTTTAAGATTCTTTTATTTGTTTATAAGTCCTTGAATGGGCTTGCACCTTCTTGTCTTATGGAACTTTTACGTCCGTATAATTCGTCGTGGTGCCTTAGATCAGCTGATCAGCTTCTTCTGGAGGCACCGAGGGCTAGGCGGAAAACTAGGGGGGATAGAGCTTTTGCTGTAGTGGGTCCAAGTTTGTGGAATGCATTGCGTCTTTATATGAGGCAGGCCCCCTCGTTGCCCATTTTAAAGTCGTATTTGAAGACCTATTTGTACTCATTGGCGTTTGGACAGGACTGAGACTCTTTCAGATTGGGTAATTCCTTGATTGGAGCCAAATGTATGTTTTATTGTTTTTATTTTTATGTTGTTATGATTTTAGATTTGTATTGTATGTTAAGCACTTTGGTCAGCTGTGGCTGTGGTAAAGTGCTATATAAATAAAGTTGAGTTGAGTAGTACATGTGTGCTGTTGCCCACCTGATGAAGACTGGATGCTGACAGACAGCTGTTCTGATAAGACACACTGCACAGAGGTTGGAGTCAGTGTGGATTGAATCGATCAAACACTTAAGTCACGCATACATGCTGCTCGTGTATAGTGAAGTCCCAGTTTGAAGTCAGAAGTAGTTTTAAGTAGTAGACTAGTTATAGTCCTATTGACCTCAGTGTATATAAGTTGGTAACATTATGTATGAAAGGACAAAATGTGGAATAATGGTGAGCAAAGTTGTGCTGATTGGGCAATAATGACACTGGAGCAGTGTCATGTTGAGGATGGCTACAGTGCCTCATGGAGCCATGCTTTCTGCCCCCGCCCAAAAAAAATCCTGAACTCAACTGTTTGGTGTTAGTCCACAATCCAGCACTACAAAGTTCTTTGTCATTTCACATTTTCAACAACCATTTTCTAACATGTATAATGTGTTCAGAAACAAATCACTGATTTGGCTTTACCCTGACTTTATTTTGTGAATGTTTACTGGCAGTTACCATGTAAACCATTAATAAACACAGCCACACCTCTGCACAACCCTGGGGGAAGGATTTTGAGTGAATGCAGCCAAAGTACGTGCTTCTGTCTGTTCGGCTGTGTGCACCTTGAGTGCCTGTATCCCTGCCCTCAGACACAGACCTGAAACTAAAGCCACGCAGTAGGCTACTCTGATTCCCGGCTTCCATTTATAATACAACAAACAGCCCATAAGTTCAGTGTTAAAGAGCTTGAATTTCAAAAAGCCCCCTTGAAGGAGGGTCAAAATGCTGGTTGTGTGCTGCGATGTCTGTGGAAAAGGGTCTATTGCACTTGCCTCTCTCTTTATCCCTCCGCTATTTGTCCTTCTTTGGAGACAAAAGTACTTCTCAAGGGCAAGAAAAATTCTTTCTCAACAGTCATGCCTTTCATCTCCCAGGTTATAAAATCCCAGTGGTTGAAAATCTTGGAGCTACTCTGGACCAGTTTGACACTATTGACTTCTCTGATAATGAAGTCAGAAAACTGGATGGCTTCCCTCTTCTCAAGAGACTCAAGACATTGCTAATGAACAACAACAGGATTTGGTAAGTTATTTCTGCAACACCCTGCAAAGTCTTGAATGGAAAAGTACAATATGATGTTCCAATTAAAAATGACGTCATGTTGATGACATTTAGATTAACCAACATTTCAGTGCTTTCTGGAGATAAGAAAAATAAATGCTTGCTCTATAATATTAAGGTTACACTTATAACAGGCCCTAACTCCCAATGAAAGTTTTTTTTTCTTTCTTTTTTCAAATTTAAGTTTGATTTGTTGATGGTGCATATTTATCTAACTGTGTGAATGCTGCTGATGTCCTAAAGCAGGGATACTGGTCCCACCAAATTTAGGGGTTTGGTAGCCAAAGTGCATCTTTGGTGTTCTAAATGTAAAAACAATGCACAAGAGGTAGTTTAACACAGCCTTCCTTAACTGTGGCAGTTCAATAAATGAAAAGACTAACAGAATCAAAATATTTATTCCAACTGAAAACTGAAGTTCATTTGTAAATACATATATTCTGTCTCTTATTTCAGTCTTTTGGCAGCTCTCCTTTGCTTTCTCCCTCCTATCATTGTGCCTGAGTGAGTCATGTATGCAATAGGAACATAACAAAAAAGCTGTCAAACCGACTATGCATATTTGCACCTGTAGCCATTTTTGTCAAAATATGTGGGCAGAATGAATATATTTTTATAATTCAGTGTTTCTCACAGAATTAGAATCTGCTGTGCTGTTCATCTGAACAAGGAGAACATGCGAAATCCACATAAAGGCAGGGCTCAAACCCAAAACCATCTTGCTGTGAGGCGTCAGCTCTCACCATTGTTTTGCTATGCCGCAGGTGATAAAATCATTAATGAAAAATGACTTGTTAGAGAGTTGACATTACAAACAGCCATCTTTGAAAGGGAACCAGAATGGCCTGTTTGTGATTTACATTTACATATTTAAGATTACTGAGACGGGTACCAGATGGTCTGTGATTACTATGATGAGACTGACCATGCCACCAGCTGTTTAAGATCACTGGTATCTCTGAGGACGTGGCATGGGATCTGTTGCATCTCTGGTGAACCTCTGAGTGATCCTGTGTGCGGTTTTTGCTGTTTAATAGTTCAGAGTTGACTGAGCTTCTTAGTTGCATCTTTAAGTAGTTTCTTGAGTGGGAAGTGGAGTGGGGTCACTGGGTTCCTGTCTGGGGGAGCTCTGAAGGGGAGGAGGGGTGACGGGACAGTGACAACTTCTGAACGCCCTGAGTGATGTTGACCAGAGAGTCAGCTGAGGTTGGAGAGACACAGGCAGTCTCGGTGTGTGCACCATCTTTTGGGCTCATCCATGTGTTTGGATAAGGTATCCCAGGGGCATGATGTAGGTTGGCTCTGAAAAGTCTGTATCCAGAGAAGTTTGGGTGCACCCCATCAGGTCTGAAGCAATTTACTGTATACAGTTTTGAACAGTATTGAAGTTATCAATGAACTTCAGCCCATGAGTAAGGCACTCTGTATACAGGCATGCATTCAGGATCAGGAGTCATTAAATGATCCCATTCCCATTCTAAAGGTTGGAATGGGCCAGAGATGAACATATGTGGTGACTGGTAGTTGTGCAGTAGCAGTGAAAAGTCTTCCTCATGATTTCAGAGCCAGTTTTCCTGCACAGAATGTCAAAAGATCCAGCATGGGTGGTAATCTTCATGTCGCTTAGATGTTGTAGAGAGGATGACGGGCAACAGTTCTGCTAGTTCCATGCCATTGCTAGATTTTCAGTTTTTGCCATTTTTGCATATTTAATTATAGAGTCCCCAATCAGGATTGTGCCAGGTTTAGAGTCGGCAGTGCTGCTTGTAGCCTTCTGCCTAGTTGTGGCTTTGGGACCATCTTTTGTTTTTTGACTATCTTTAATGCCTGTGATATGACTAGCTTCCCTGGGTCAGCAGTTTTGCCAATTTCATTTAGAGTCAGTGGCTCAAACCTGTATTTAATGGTAGGAGTTCAGATGGTGCAGTGAGCACTGGTGCCATCATGTAAGATTTCCTCCTGGGTTTATATCTGCCCTGGACAATGTCAGACCAAGTCCTGGCTGGAGTTGATGATTTCAGTCTAGCTCTGTGGCTGTGCCAGTAGGAGGCATCAGAGAGGGCTGATGTGGGAGACATCACAGCTCCGGTCTCGCTGTGACAGATCCAGGGCAGCGTGTCAGCCAGGTCTGTGCCTGATGTAATCCTCACTGTCTATCTGTTGGCAGCTTGTACAGTAACCACTGCTGAATCAATAAATTGTTCACTCTCTTGAAGAAGCTTTTCAATCTTCCTTTCAAGCTGCATACTTCTTTCCAACAGTCGTTCACACTCGTGCAGCTTGCCGTAGCCATGTCCAACCAGGGGAGCAGCAAAGTTAAAGTCAAGTGAAAATAGTGTTTAAAACTATGGTCATAGCCTTTTGGCTATCAAAATTAAAGTCCTAGTTATTTAAGTATCTAGTAGCCATTGTCCATAAGTGTTTAGCAGAAAAAAATGAGGATATTTGTAAAAGAAAAACATGTTTAGGCTGAGAACAAGCAGTACGAGTGTCTGCACTGTAGCAAAGCAGGAAGCAGTCAGGAAAGAAAGGTGCGCATGCATTGCGTTTGTCCTTCAATAGCAGTATTAACTAGAGATGCACCGATTGCAATCTTCTTGGCCGATTCCAATATGTTTTTTTTTTTTTTTTAAGTCTGACCTGCTGGATCTGATTTTGGCTGATTCCAATTTTCTTGCTGTCTAAGAACTGTGATTGACAGCATATGCAGACATTTTTGTAATTTTGCTTTAATGAAAATTTTAATTGTAATAAAAATAAAACTTTGTATTGAAGTTTTACATTTCTATCTTTTTTTTTTTTTTTTGCTTGCAAACATCCAACTGAAAATGAAGTGCAGTGTTTGTATTTCACAGATTCTAAACCAGCGCAACAGAAACAGGATGTCTGTTGCATCAGTCCCACTGAGCACACAGTTCTTCTTGTAGTGTGTATTTGCTGTGTTTTACCACAGGTTGGATACACTGTACTCATACATATACATGCACTGGATGTATATGTAATTCCCTCATTGTGTACCATTTGTCAGTGATTTAGATGTGGTTTCCCTTCTTTAAGGTGTTTCTGTAGCCTCCTTTGTGCAGTTTGGTTCACCAAGCGCTTCCAATGTGCAAGTGAACATGCGCCCGGTACAGAGAGGTGCACTTAAAATGATATTTGCTGCACATGCTCTGCTTTTGGTCTTCGCCCTAGTGTGCGAGTCGTGAACTGTCCTACCTCTAAATCTGATCAGCACTGAATCAGAAGTCTCTTGCAAAAATGCATCTCAGTCGGGGGGGTTCTGCTGCACACAGGCACACCGAAGCTGTCCGGCATCCTGCAGCACTGAGAGGGCTAGGAGGCTTGAGAGACTGAATGGAGAAATATTCTGGTTTGATGTATTGCAAAACTTTAAGGAGCAGTGGAAAACACACTTTTGCACACCTTGCGTTAATAGCCTGAACATTATAAAGGGGAGGAAGGCAGGGTAATGTCCACATAGACCTCTCCAGACATTTTCCACACGCAGTCTTGGCTGCACGACAATGTCAGTACTTCATTTCATGTCTGAAAAGCAGCTTACTGTTTGTTGGGTGAGGACCAACACTGAATCATTTTAGTTTCATATCCAGACTGTTGCTTAACCAGTAATTATGACTTTATTTAACAAAATTATTTAATTTTGATTGTCACAACTTCAGAGCAGTGTTCTTTGGCGCAGCCCTAAGGGGGACGTGGACCCCACGTTGGGAACTATGGCATTAGATAATGGATTTAATGTGCAGTTTGGGAGGTGGTGCAAAGTATTATTAATGATGTCAGACTGTCTTAGAGAAGTGCTGCTTTTGTTTAAGGTGGTCAAGGTGTACTTACTGGCTGTAACTTGATGTAATGTTCTCCAGTCGCGTAGGTGAGAATCTGGAGCAGTCTCTGCCGAGTCTAACAGAACTGGTTCTCACCAACAACAACATACAGGAGCTGGTGAGTACATTTCAGCAGCAGTTAGTTAACTGAGTCATGCGAATGTTATATTTCTAGATTTTGTTCAAAATGGTGAATCCAAGTTTAATGATTTGTACCAAAATACCAAAAAAATTGAACTTCATCTTCAGTCATACACCCTTCTGTAATTTTTACCTCAATTTATGTTTTTTCTGTTCAAAGCTGTCGTCATTTTAGCGTTTTGTCCTTATTGGGCAAAATATTATAAATAACTTGACATAAGAGCGTAACTGCATCCTTCAGTGACAGAGTGGACCACTTACCCCTCTCTACCAGTTTCAACAAAAACTAAGATCAGACATGTAATGGTATAATTGTTTGTTTTTTTTATGTTTGGATACGTTTTCATAGATGTTTTATATCCTTGGTGTTTGTGTATTTAGGTGCTCTCTCATTTCACTCATTCAGATTAATGCTCTTAATTGGTGTCCCCTCTAAAAGTTTGAAGTCTTAATAGGTAGTAATGTGCCATCAAACACTTCAGAAATTTTACTTGTCTTTTTCATGATACTGTGTTTTTGAGTCATTGTACTTTTCATGTGCAGGGCGACTTGAACCCGCTGGCTTCAGTCAAGACACTGACACTTCTCAGGTCTGAATCATCAGTATACAATGACTGGTCACTGAACTTGTCTTGTGCACGGCTGACTAATGATCATACATGTTTGTAATAATCATTGAATTTCCAGCTTGTTAAGGAATCCAGTGACAAACAAGAAGCATTATAGGCTCTATGTCATCAACAAAATTCCGCAGATCCGTGTGCTTGACTTCCAGAAGGTAAAGCTCAAGGTAAGTGCAGGTGAACAGTGCCGATTTCTGAAAGTCCCAATGTAAGGTAGTATGAGGTAGTGACCCAGTCCAGTATTTCACGGCCTGGCATATGTACAGTCATGGTAAGACAAAAAAAGTTACCCTCCCTCAAATTCTGGTTTTATCAGGACTAAAAAAACAATTGTGTGGACCTCGCCAACTTTTATAAGCAACAAAGATAACCTCACATGACGACAAAACAAAAAGTAATTTCATTTTGTCATAACTACTGGAGATGGAGGCTAAAACAACAATACGGACTTTACAGCGATGACCGTAAAGACCTTACCCTTGATTGAACTTTATAAAGCATTTTTGTGGTTATTAAAAATGTATAAAATGCCTTCCATTGTGGAGTTGACCACCCTAAGCAGTTCTGGTGAACTGTGCATTTTCCAACCTGGCATTGCAACCCCCTTGGATGAAAGCTTAGTCTGTTTTCATTTTAACCATGTGATATCATCCTAGGAACGCCAGGATGCAGAGAAAATGTTCAAGGGCAAACGAGGTGCTCAACTTGCAAAGGATATTGCCAAGCGACCTAAAACGTAAGATAAGAGTCCATATCAGGCAGCACGTCCTCAGAATCACTGGATCTAGGCTGATGGAATGGGTTAACTATAAAAATAAAACATCCATCACCCATCAGTTTGTTTACGTTGGAACATTCATAGAATAGACAGACATACATGAAGCAACATGAGCTCTTTAGCTATGTGGTGTCATTTATGACAAAATTCCAGAGATGTTTTAACTTTGAGTTCAAGCCACATATTTGAATATCTGGACATTTTTTTATTTGTTCTAGATCCTTCAGGCTCTGTGCTTCAGCACATTCAATCTAAAAAATGGATACTACATTAAATGCCACATCTTAGCTTTAATTTGAGCAGGTTTACATGGATGTGAAAGGAACTGTATGTTGGATACAGCCCCTTAACATATAGTACCCAAATTGCAAGGGTTCAAAAATAGGACTCGGCTGTTAAATGTGTCTTGGTCAGCTGCATGTCATTTCAGCATTATTTATTTTTTTATATGGAAGAGAGACCTGATTGAGAGTTGTCATTTAGATTGATATAACCTCACTTTCATAACATTAGCAGAGATGTGCACAGAGCTGTTGTGGTGTTAGCAGATCTCTACAGCTAACACTGGCACAGTAGCGATTAACAGTTAGTAACCGACAGGGTTATTTTTAGCCAGTCCGATATTTACTCTTCACAGGTTTCTTGCTCCCGTTTTCTCTTCTTCTTGGCTGTTGATGGGCTGTGGCAATGCTGTAGTTCTGGCTGTGTGTTGTGTTGATCACAGTTTATACATGCTTTGGCTGGATGGATCATAGCCATATAAACGTATGTCTATGGGACATGTCTTCTGACTATACGCCATACTGCCTAGGCTACTGCTACATGTGTGCTTTAGTCTGGTCCTGTTGCACAGCTTATTCGAAAACGCAGAAGGCAGTTTTAGTACGTTTTAAGTCTGAATTTTAAGCTCCCAAGGGTGGGAGGACACAGTACTGTCGATGTGCAAGTGAAACACCAGTGTCCTTGTTGACAGCTCTGCTCTGAACAAGATGTAACTGCTTGCTGCTTGGTCTGCTAGCAGGGCTTCACAGCACCAAACGCATCAGATCAAATTTCCAAATTTGCTTTAATTGAATAGACACATTTACAGTCAAAGTGGTTACTATCTTGCCTGAAAAAAAAATCCTCAAAGTCCCAGGGATTTGTCTCCGCATGCAAGAATACTGAACTGGCGGAAGGGTCTGGTGCCGTAAAGCAAAGCAAAGCCATCAGGTGAGGTCTCTGTGACGGTGATCCAGAGTTAGGTAGTGTAGCCACAGACAATCCAGGCATGCAGTGGCAGTAACAGAGATGCCATCCACCTTATTAGAAGTTAGGGGTGTAAGAAAATATTGATACACTTGAGTGTCACGATACTACGTTTTGTGGTACTGTATCGATTCTCAAAAACACTACCAATTTTTTTATGGAGTTTACACACCAAGCAGAGCTGTTGTCGGAAATGCAGATCTCTGTTCTGATAGTATCAAAAAGTAAGCTTTCTTTTACAGGAGATGTTATGCATATGGTAGTGTGTTGCTTATTTTATGAGGTTTTTCTAGAATTTATTTTAAATAAAAAAAAAATACATTGCCTTGTTTACAAAATTGCAGTATATTGAATTGGAAGGCCTGTATCGTGATACATATCTCGCCAGGTTCTCGGCAATACACAGCCCTCTTAGAAGTCGGTCTACCATCAAAATGATTTTGAAGCCGTTATCTTAATGTAAAAGATATGTATTGTTGCTTTAATGTAATATCCAGTATTTTATTCCAAATTCAATTTGCTGAATATGACATGGACAACATGATTAACTATTCAACTTTGTATTTAATGTATTTAATAATGCAAGGAACTCGTTTAGTCTCGAATCTGTACGATAAGATTATCACTTGTTCTCTGTCTCCACAAATGTGAGCAAAAACATGCATTCCTTAGTGGGGGTAAGAAATATCTGAATTGGCCTTGACTGTTTAAACCTGAAACCAGAAATGTTCACCACAGTGTTGCTGAGGACTGCTGTCTTTGGACAATGTATCAGTTTATTTCACTCAAGAACAGATACTACACAAGATTAACTCCACTGGTTGAGGGGTTAGAGGAGCTGTGTGTGTACACGTTGTCTAAATGAGGTGTGTTCCTTTCAGATTCACTCCCGGAGTGACAGCACAGCTTGAGAAGAAGAGGACAGGGCCGTCTCAAGCTGAAGTGGAAGCCATCAAGGTTTGGGGCGTTTGTCCTTGATGTGGGTGCATGTTTGTCATTAGAAAAAGGAAAAAACCTAAATGCATCTTCTCTAGAGTTTTCGATCACATTTCACTTCATTCCACTGAGGGTGGAGTTTACTGAGAGGGCATCAAGTGACACAAGCATGAAACGTAATTGTGCAAAGTCGGGGATATTAACTCCTGTTTCTGTTCTAAAAGATGCTCTCGTTTGTCAGATGTGAATGGTCTTTTTTTGTGGTCGTCCACTGATTCCTCATTGATGACATGTGACCTCTTTTCAATTGATGCTGCAAAGAATTTTGTTCTGGTGTTAAGGTAGCCAAAGAGCATCCTTGGAACAAACACGGGTTAACAACCACATGACAGTTCACCTACTGAAAAGCAATGAGATGTGGTGAAAAACCTAAAGAAACCTTGAGAGAAGACCTTTTTGTCAAATTACAGTTTTCAGTGTCAAGAATCAAGTTTGAACTTTAGGTCATATTTCACTCTTTTATAAATGTTGGTCACAGTGACGTGATATAGGCAATGAAATGCTTGTAATAAAACGAAAGCATAGATGAATCATCACTGATGTGCTAAAGTAACCTGTATGAACATTCAGACTTAGAGCAGTAGATTGTAAAATGATGAACATACTAGCTTAATTTTACATGAGTGTGTTTGTGTTTCAGAATGCCATCGCTAAAGCTTCATCATTGGCAGAGGTGGAGAGGTTAAAAGGGATGCTTCAGGCTGGTCAGATCCCAGGCCGAGATCTCAGACAAGGTGCTGATCAGATACTATTCCGGAAGTTGAATAATACTGTAGAACATGGATTTTTGAGGATGGTGAATTGTGTAATTTGTACAAACACATTTGGCCAGCATTTCTTACAGTGTGTTATTCATAATTTGAGACAGTACTGCATACTGAGGGAGTAAATTTTCCAATTAATCAAAGTACTAGTCTGAGTGGTAAGTTGGTAGTACTACTTTTTAAATGTCTTTTAAAATAAAATAAAAAAAGGACCAACAATGACCTGATCCTGGTAAGTGCTCCAAGTGTTTGCCACCTTCAATTGGGGGTGTGCACACTTGGACAAGCTGTGCAATCAACCATTCAGAACATGTTAAAACTTAGTATATGTGCCACACCTGTAAAGCATACATGCATGTGTTTGGAAGTAGGTGGAAAAGGAAGTGACTGGGCCTGGGTTCCTTCAGATTAGTGAGCCAGTCAACAAGGAGCTGTGCAGTCACTTTGTGGCCTTAAACCTAGATTTTTCAGATTTCAAGAGGCATGTGTCTTGTGTTTGCAAATCCTGCCACAAGAAGCATGTGTCTCAATTAACAAGTGTCATCTGTGTATAACCAAAGCTTGGTATATCTTGTTTCCTTATGCCATGTTGGTCAGTTGTCCACAAACTATTAGAAATGCATTAGGCAGCCACACAGTTACACTCACATATTGCTTCATCACATTATAGTTTAGAGTGACAGATACTCACTGCAGATTGATTTGCCACCAAAAATAGTCCTCAGCAGATATGCTATTACTTCCTGTTTCAGTAATGTATGCTCTCTCAAGTTTTATTATCGCAATAGTTCATGCTTGATGCCCTATGAGACCATATTCTAGAAGGGTCTCCCAATTACCCACCAATTAGCATTTGTATAATCTGATCCACAGTCGTAAGGAGCCTATTCAGCATCAATTGAAAAGAGGTCACAGGTCATCAACCCCAGATGGCACACCGTGCTAAGATGGCACTTCATAACGTTACATTTCTCATTTCCCCTAGGGGTGGGGTTTTGACTGATTTTTAACAGCAGCCATTTTAATTTTACCTAATGACCAATACCCAACATTGGAAGTACTATTACCACATCTACAGACCCCCTAAATTTATTTAAGAACCTACATGTCCATGGTCATACCCTCTATTTATTTCTAACATTAGGTGTGCCTTTCCAGAACCTTGTCATTAGTGGCACTAATTTATCAGATTACTGGCCTGTTGACTTTACCCCCACACAGCCCTTCCATACTACCAAGTGAATGTATTTGGTTATTAGATTGTATTCTGATGCAACATAACATTAATCCTTGAATGAATGAAGCACTGTGTTTTCCTATACTACAGCAGCAGAAAAGGTGGATCAGGGAGGATGGTGGAGGCACAGTGGACTGTTGTTATATCAGTGGCTCAAGTTCAGTTTTGAATTCTGCTCTAACTTTTAATTTGAAGCTGCTTTTAAGTTTTGCTTTCTCTAAAGCAAGCACTGAGTCAACACAAAGCTGCTCTTTATGCTTCTGCCACCCTCCCTGCTTCACTTTTATTCCATCTGTCAGTAGGAAAATGCACTTCATTCAAAAACTACATTGCATCAGAATACAATCCAACAGTTAGTTGTGTTCCTTACAAAATGTATTTGCAGTTGCATGTGAACATTTTTAAGAGACAAGGTGGCTGAACAAGTAGTTATAAACTAGTACTCTGTACATTAAGACAGTGCAGTGATACCTGGCCATTAAACCCCCGTTCTGCCCGTTGTGTTTAATGAAGCTGTACTGACATCAGTATGGGTTTACAATGTCCACTTAACTGCAGGGTTATGACAGCAGCAGTGTGGTAGATCAGATTTCAAATTAATCTTCAGTTTTCTTCATTCTAGCATTTACTATTTATTTCTTAACATAGCTTAAGCATGTTATCCATGTTTAATAGATCTTTGACTAGAAATGTGAAACTAAAGGCTATTGTTGATCCTACACACTTGGAACATTTCAAATGTTGCAGGCATTCATGGCAAGGTTTATGACTGGTTTATGTCAAATTTGCAACATAAAGTAGATCAGTATTGGTTAAAATGGATCATTTATCAGCCAGCTCCGCTGCTGTTTCCTGTAGTGTACTAAAAGGGTCGATGTTAGGCCCTACTATATGATACCACTGGGGACTATCTTCAGAGAACACGATCCTTACCATTGCTATGCAGATGTTAGACAGCTATATTTTCTTTTGAAACCAAATGAACACACAATCTACAGTCTCTATTAAATTGTCTTGATGATGTGAAAAGCTGGATGCACAGAAATGTTCTTCAACTAAATGAAAATAAGTCATTATTAGTCCTGAGAGGTTCCCTGATAATTTGGCCAGCGCGCTGGCCAGTCATTTGGTGCAGTGCCTTCAAATGTCTGTTTACATGGCAGAAATGTAGGAATCCTTTGACTTTTGTTGTTAAAATTTAACAAATAAATTCAGATGCAGATGTACAAAACATACATTTAAGAGAAAACATGCAAACAAAAAAAATGTGGATTCAGAATTACCAATTCATCAACCATTCATTTAGTAACACTTTAAAACCCCTCAGTCAACTGCTGCTTTAAGCATCCCGGGTGACAGTTCCAGAGGCGGTGTATAAAAAGGTATTGAGGAATGTTCTCAGGCTAATACAGGATAACACCAGCCTTAGCATTTTTTCCACTCCTTTCTTTTATAACCTTATTGTATTTTGATGAAGGGATGAATGAATGTTCTTTTCTGAAACCAGGTACAGCCGGGATGGTGGAGGAAGAAGATGAGGAAGAGGGTGACTCTGCACAGATGGAGGCACATATGGATGAAGGTGCTGGAGAGGGGATGGCGGAGGAAAATGAAGAAGATATGGATGAACAGCCACATGCTAATGGCTCCTGAGGAGTGTTTTTATGTTGTAGATTTCTTGTGTTGGACATACACGTACCAGGGCCGTTTTTATTTTCAAATGACATGTTGTGGCAAAACTATCTACACATCAACAGATTTTGCATCACTCTAAGCGGGAACATTTAATTTTAAGGGTCAGCTGACATGGCCAGCTGAATGCAGGTTTTTTTCTTATCTGGTCTTTAAGGCAGTTCTCTAGTCCTTTAATGTTAATTTCTGATGGCTTTGACAGATCTTGTATAGCTATCGCTGTTTCACATTCATATTTGTAACTAACACGTATGCGAATTTATGTAAACACATTTGACACACATGCAGACAAGTGAAATATGAGTGTGTATGTGTGTGTACAAGAATAATTTTTGTGATGACTAAAGCAAAACCTATTTCTTCAAAGTGCTCATTTAGGCTGTGGTACACTTTGGTGGCTTGAACAGAAGAACATAAATGTCCAACAGATTTAAAATATCCTTTTTTCTCCATTGACCACCCTCAGTGTTGCTTGTTTTCCATGTTTATTTTTGAAGTTGGTGTATTATGAGAGCTGCTATTCAGGCAGTCTGGTTGTGATGATGTCACAGACAGATCCAACAAGTTAAACAACTGACTTTAGAACATTTCTCCAATATGAAAATAAAAACCACTTAAATGATGGAATTAGTAGTGCGTTGTTCTTTCAACACCACAAAGCTATAACACAAGACAGAAGGCCAGTGATGCAATATCAGATGTGACAACCTGTACTCATTTTGACATTAGGTGTTATGATTTCTCATTCTAAAGGACATGAAAAGGTGGTGATGCCTTTTGAGTTTGACCAGTGGTGCAGTACCTAAATCTAAGCCACCTTAGATTATAGACAGAACAATGTATTACAGGGGTCTTCCTACACTCATGACCAAAAATATTGACACCATTGCATTTGTCAGATGACACAACAGTTGTCCCAGAAAATTGCTGCAGTCATTTGTAACCAGTTAAACAGAAAAGTTGACTCAGCCTTTGTGTCATGTGGACCACACTGAGCATGGAGAAAAGAAAGAAGGGCAAAGAATTGTCTGAGGATTTGGGAACCACAATAGTGGAAAAGCATGGACGGTCTCAATGCTCCAAGTCCATCTCCAGAGATCTGGTTGTTCCTGTGTCCACTGTGTAACACTGTCAAGAAGTTTACAGCCCATGGTGCTGAGGCTAATCTCCATGGACATGGATGGAAGAGGAAAATAGACGACAGATTGTAATGAAGGATTGTTGGAATGGTGGATAAAGAACCTCAATCAACTTCCAAACAAATCCAAGCTGACCTGCAGGCACAGGGTTTAACAGTGTCAGCTCACACTATCACAAATCAAATCAAATTTAATTTGTATAGCACCAAATCACAACAAAAGTCATCTCAGGACACTTTACAAAGTAAGGTCTAGACCTTACTGTTATCTTTATTATTACATAGGGAAAACCCAACAAATCCCCCTGGGCAAGCACTTGGCGACAGTGGGGAGGAAAAACTCCCTTTAACGGAAGAAACCTCCGACAGAGCCTGGCTCTCGGTGGGTGGCCTTCTGCCTCGACCGGTTGGGGTGAGTGGATAGAGGAGAGACAAAAGAAGAAAAGCAACAAGACACAACAAACAATGAAACACTGGTCAGGTTGATGTGGCCGGTGACTGCTCATCAGAGACGTAGAGCTCCAGGGCCAGGGCAACCTGCAGAAAGGTACAGAGAAAGAGAGAGAGGACACACTATGGGAGAGAGGAGACACAAAGTTAGTAATGTGTAATGGTAGCATATAGAACCATAGGGGGAGAGGGGAGGGGAGAGAAACTCAGAGCATCATGGGGCCCCCAGCAGTCTAGGCCTATGGCAGCATAGCTAAGGGAAGGCTCAGGGCCACCTGATCCAGCCCTAACTATAAGCTTTATCAAAAAGGAAAGTCTTAAGGCTAATCTTAAAGGTAGCGAGGGTGTCTGCCTCCCAAACTGAGACTGGGAGTTGGTTCCATAGGAGAGGAGCTTGATAGCTAAAGGCTCTGCCTCCCATTCTATTTCTGTGGACTCTAGGAACCACAAATAAACCTGCACTTTGAAAGCGAAGTGCTCTGTTAGGATGATAAGGCTCTATGAGGTCTTTAAGATACGATGGAGCCTTGTCATTAAGGGCTTTGTATGTTAGGAGAAGGATTTTAAATTCTATTCTGAATTTTACAGGGAGCCAGTGGAGAGAAGCTAATATGGGAGAGATATGATCTCTCTTGCTAGTTCCTGTCAGTACTCTGGCTGCAGCATTTTGGATTAACTGGAGGCTTTTTAGGGAATTATTGGGACATCCTGATAGTAAAGAGTTACAGTAGTCCAGCCTGGAAGTAACAAATGCATGGGCCAGTTTTTCAGCATCACTTTGAGACAGGATGCTCCTGATTTTTGCAATATTGCGCAGGTGAAAGAAGGCAGTTCTAGAGACTTGGTTTATGTGTGATTTAAAGGACATATTCTGATCAAAGATGACTCCAAGGTTCCTCACAGTAGTACTGGAGGCAAGAGCTATGTCATCTAAAGTAACTATATGATTAGACAGCAGATTTCTAAGGTTTTCAGGCCCAAGCACAATGACTTCAGTTTTGTCAGAGTTTAGAAGTAAGAAGTTGCAGGTCATCCAGGCCTTTATGTCTTTAAGACATGCTTGAAGTTTGACCAGCTGATCTGATTCATTTGGCTTCATAGATAAATATAACTGAGTATCATCTGCATAGCAATGGAAATTTATGTTGTGCTTCCTGATTATACATGCTCCCTTTAGGCAATATTAAGTGAAGAGAATTGGACCTAACACAGAGCCCTGTGGAACGCCGTGATTAACTTCAGTTTGTGTGGAACATTTGTCATTAACATGAACAAACTGAAATCTTTCTGATAAATAAGATTTGAACCAACTTAGCGCAGTTCCTTTAATCCCAATAACATGTTCAAGTCTCTGAAGTAAGATGCTGTGATCAATGGTGTCAAAAGCAGCACTGAGATCCAAGAGGACAAGTATGGAAACAAGTCCTTTGTCAGAGGCAAGGAGAAGATCATTGGTGACTTTCACCAATGCGGTTTCTGTACTATGATGGACTCTAAATCCTGACTGAAAATCCTCAAACAAATCATTCTTGTGCAAGTGGTCACATAACTGCTTTGCAACAGCTTTTTCAAGAATTTTGGAAATAAATGGGAGATTGGATATTGGCCTATAATTAGCTAGGACACCTGGGTCAAGAGTAGGCTTTTTGAGTAGAGGTTTAATTACTGCAACCTTAAAAGCCTGTGGAACATAACCTGTTAATAGAGAGAGGTTAATCAGATCTAGTATGGATGTGTTGATTAGGGGAAAGACGTCTTTGAGCAGCCCGGTCGGGATGGGGTCCAGGAGACATGTTGATGATTTAGATGAAGCAATTGTTGAGGTCAACTCAGAGAGATCTATAGGGGAGAAGTAGTCCAAGTATAAATGAGGTCTTACAGATGTTTCTAAAGCCATTGTAGTAGATGGCACATCTGCGAGAGCTGTGGGAGTGGTCCGACCAATTTTTTCTCTAATAGTTGTGATTTTATTTGTAAAGAAGCTCATGAAGTCATTGCTGCTGAGATCTAAGGGAATGTTAAGCTCAACAGCACTGTGGCTCTTTGTCAGCCTGGCTACAGAGCTGAAAAGAAACCTGGGGTTGTTCTTATTTTCCTCAATCAGTGATGAATAAAATGCGGTTCTGGCACTATGAAGGGCTTTCTTATATGTTATTAAACTATCTTTCCAGACTATGAAAAACTCTTCTGACTTAGTGGAGCGCCACCTCCTTTCCATTTTTCGTGATGCCTGCTTTAGGGAGCGGAGCTGCGAGCTGTACCACGGCGCTAACCTCCTCTGTTTCACTACCTTCTTTTTCAGAGGGGCAATGGTATCAAGTGTATTACGCAGGAAGGCTGCAGTACTATCAACAAGATTATCGATTTGTATGGGAGTAAAGTTAAGGTGGCCTCCTTCCACTGTGTTGGCAAATGGCACTGAAGTACTATAGATAAAGATGGAATTATTTCCTTAAACTTGGTAACAGCATTGTCAGATAGACATCTACTGTAGTGGAATTGTTTCCCACATAGAGTATAATCCATTAATGTAAATTCAAAAGTTAGTAGAAAATGGTCAGACAGATCTGTCACCATCTGAATGACAAGGGACGCTATGGTATGAGACGCAGGGGCCCACTGCTGACACAGAGATCTAAAGAAGTCAGACTGGAGTTTGAAAAAACTTAACTGAGGAATCCACAGTCTTTCTGGGAGAATGTGGACAGATGAGACAAAAATAGAGCTTTTGATCGAGCACGTCATTCTTCTGTTTTCAGAAAATGATATGAGGCCTTCAAAGAAAAGAAAATGTCCCTACAGTCAAACACGGTGGAGGTTCTGGGGTTGCTCTGCTGCTTCAGCCACCAGATGTCTTGACTGTGTGTATGGCATTAGGACATCTGAAGACTACCAACGAATTCTGGGGCCTAGTTTCAGAAAGTCGGGTCTCCATCAGAGGTCATGGGTCTTACAGGAGGACAATGACCCAAAGCAGACTTCACAAAGCACCAGAAATGGTTTCAGACAATGAGCTGGAGAGTTCTGAAGTGGCCAGTGGTCCAGGTCTAAATCCCATAAAGCTCCTGTGGAGAGATCTCAGAACAGCAGCTGGGAGAAGGAAGCCTTCAAATCTGAGAGTCCTGGACCAGCTGGCAGAAGAAGAGTGGTCCAAAACTCCAGTAGAGAGGTGGAAGAAACTCACTGATGGTTACAGGAAGTGACTGATTTCAGTTATTTTGTCCAAAGGGTGGGCTACCAGATATTAAGTTGATGGTGTCAATAATCCTGTCCAGTCCATTTTTGGCATTCTGTGTGGAATGGATCAGATTTGGCTTTTCTCTGCTTTCTGTGTTGTTCCCATGCAAACAAAAGAAATAAACATGAGAATACCAAAGAATTTGTGATTACAACAATTTTCTGGGAGAAGTCGTGTGTTATCTGACAGAAATGCAGGGGCACCTGTATTCTTGGCCATGACTGTACCTATACATTGCTATGCCAACCGTTAATTGCAGTAAGAAGAAGCGGACACTGTATTTCCGCCAGACAAATCTTCAGAGATTGATGAATGAAACATTTTCCACTATAAGAAGTATTCAGTATTTCTGGTCTGTAGTACCATTGCCATATACTGTATATCAGCTGTGGGTGTGCATTTGTGTGTGTGTGTACATGTCCTGTTCAAGTCTGCATACACCATGGTAGGCTAGCTGTTTGGTTAAATGCTAACCTCTACAAAGTGTCGCATAACATCACCATAGGCAAAGTGTTGTCATTGCAGTCTATTCACAATACACTACACAGGATGTCCGAGGCATTCTTATGCATTTGTGTTGATTCGGGGTGATTTCCCTCCTTCACAGTGCTCATGCATTGTAATAACCTTGCAGTATTTTACATGATGGTGCTGTTTTCAGATTGTTAATTTTCATGTCTTCATGCATTTTCTAGGCATAATATTTCTAGAAGGTGGCTTATAGAGTGTGTGTGCATGTGTGTCAGTGGGTGTCTTCAGCTGACTTCATATAATTCCATCTGTACTGTTTACATACTCAGTTTGCACATTCATATTTGCGTACTTATTGCTGAGTATTTGCACCCCACGGCTCCCACTTGGCATATATTCTCACTGTATTATATTGTGTTCTTGTTGTGTGGATGCTTTACAGCATCCACACAACAATGTTCTCCTGTTCTTTATTGTGTGGATGCTGTCAAGCACTTAATAAGTCCAGCATACTTTCAGCTATACAGGCCATTGAGGTCTTGATCTGTTCAACTCTTCAAGGACATCCCTGCTTGTACTCAGCTTTTTTATAACATTTATACTTTTTAATATATTCAGCTTTATATTTTGCAATACAAGTCAATGGGAGCTCAAAGTGCTGAGTCAGTGACACAGTCTTGGAGTGCCATCTGGTGGTTCATACGGTGGCGGGCCATCAGGGCCAGCAAGGCCTTCTCTGCTGGCCTAAACACTATTAGAAGCACTGACCTACATTTACAACTGAAATTCTAATATTTGTTCCATGAAATTGTATTAATTTATTCCCAACAGTCTGTTCTCTTCATTTTGTAGTATTTCTCTTGGCTGCACCACTTCCAGTACGTGTATGTGGATGTTAGATTTTTTGTCCAATCAGATTTCAGCCTCTATGTGTTGCCATGTCAATCTAATCTGCCCAGGGCCTTCAGAATCAGAAGTGCTGGCCCATGTAACTTAAACTATGTATATTAGCAATGGGACTGTTTGTTTAATCAATCAGATTTCAAATTCGCCTCACAGGGCCAGCTAGCTGGCCCACAATGATGTCAGCATTTTTCCGTCCTCTGATTGGTTGGTCAGAGCAAAACTAGAAAAGGGCTTACGATGGAACTGAAACGCACTTTCCGGTGGTGGTGCCTTCTTTAGCGCTGAATAAATGAGATTTGCCTTTAAAGAATTGTGCACATACCTCATGGCTCATTCCTCTGATCTTCCTCAGCTAATAAAACAGAATTCTATTACTGTTTCCCCTCTTCAGATGATCTTGTGTTCTGACACTGCTCTCAAACAGAAGGTCATCAGAGCTGTGCCTGGTCAAGGACTTTCATAATCTTTATATCTGCATTACAGCACAATGCACCGCTAGACAAAACCGCAGCCTCTCTCTCTTCTCTGAGTATGTATTTTTATTGCAGCTTCAAGCAGCAGCACTCAGTTAGTAGCTGCTAAGTAATATCTCTTTCTGTAGCCTAGACAAAAAGAGGCTGTAATAAAAGTGTCTGTAAAATGCTTTTTGAAGATAGGCCAAACTGATGGCAATGTGGCCATCTAGTGGTGACACAAGCTGTAGACACGCTATGGGAGAAAGCCAGGAGAAACACTGAAAGGCCTGTTTTAAGAATGAAACTTTAAATTTACCATCTTTTGTCGTAGTAAAGTTTCCCCTCCTCAATGCGGGCCTCGTAACGCTGGGAAGGGTTCTCCATGGGAGTGGTGGGGATATGCTCGGGCGACGAGGGAGACACTAAAGGGGCAAAACCACCTGATTTGAAAAATATTCACTGGATTTCTTGATGAGAGGAGAGGGATATGAAAAGATAATACCATTCTCCTGTGAGTCCATTCAATATAAAGTTACAGCCAGGAGCCATTTAGCTTAGCTTAGCTTAAACACTGGAAACAGGTAACAAAATCAGCCTATCAGCATCTCTTAAAGCTCACTAATTAACATGTTATTTGAGTGTTTGTCTGACCTAATTTAGTCGGTATCACCCTCTAGCCACGACAAAACAAAAAAGCTCAACAAGACAGAGGCTCAAACTGGTTTGAACGCCAAAACGGTACAGATGAGTCTTCAAATAAGTTTTAAAAGTGGACAACGAGGGGGCCTGCCTAATGTAAAGGGGCAATGCATTCCACAGCCTAGGAGCCCCCACAGAGAATGCTCTGTCCGCCCTAGTTCTACACCTAGCCCTCGGTGTCTCCAAGAGCAGCTGAGGCACCGAGAGGGGCTATAGGGATGCAGCAATTCTGTAAGATAAAGGGGAGCCAGGCCATTTAAAGACTTAAAAACAAATAAAAGAATCTTAAAATGAATTCTAAAACACACCGGCAGCCAATGTAGAGAAGCCAAAATAGGTGTGATATGACAAATAAACACTTTGACCTTGAACCTTTGAACACAGTATACAGCTACAGTACATTGGAAGACTCTACAGCATGATGACATTATCCAGGTCAAGGCAAAATTATTTAATCATGATTTTAGTATTTATTCCATCTTTTACCAGTAATAAAATGTCTGTTTAAATGAATAATGTTGATAACGCCCCAGAATGGTTGGAATTGACAGCATATGCAACATGTTATTCACCAAGTAACCACAATGGGTGTATGTACCGTAGTTTCTACCCTATGGCTCCATCAGCCATGTTGTCTCAAGGTAACACGACCCATTACATTATGCCTGAAAACAATTGCACAGTAGTTGTTCTCAGCCATACGTTACCAAATAGGTATATGCATCTGTTTTTACATGTCATAAATGGTTAAGCAGAGTATTATAGATATTTTGTGCCTCTTTATTCTCCAGGTGCATCATGCAACTGATTCACTATTTTACACAAATGAGCCTTTAGGGTTTAGGAAGTATCAACAAAAGGAGCAGACATTGACATTAGGTCGCTGTGTGTGTGTGCCATTTGTATCACTTACATGATGGGGACCAAAGCCTATTAAAACGCTTACATTGTGGGCACTCAGCCTTCCTTGTGGGGACCAGATGCTGGTACATAGGTACCTGACTGCCACCTACTATCAGGTACACTGTAGTTTTAAACAGTGTCCTCTGGTGGTAGTGAACAAAAAATACACCTCCTTTGGTGTTACAGTTGAAAAAAACATGACATGGAATCATACAGTGGGGCAAATAAGTATTTGATACACTGCTGATTTCTCAAGTTTTCCCACTTACAAAAATGGACAGATCTGTAATTTTCATCGTAGGTACACCTCAACTGTGAGAGACAGAATCTACAAAAAAATTCCAGAAAATCACATTGTTAGATTTTTTAAATAATTTATTTCCATTTTATTGCATGAAATACGTATTTGATACAATAGAAAAATAGAACTTAATATTTGGTACTGTTATACCCCAGTTCTATTATTGGACACATCTGAATAACGAAGGAGTCCGTCTTTCTTGATTTTAGTGCTGGTTTATTTAAAAAAAATATATAAATAAAAATTACAGAACACAACCTGGGTGGCTCCCTCCTTCAGACAAGCTGCTGGAGAAGAGAGAAGAAGCTCCCGGAACCACAGAGCCTAATACATTTATAAGTTTTGGGCTAACCCCCTTACACAGATGAAGTTCGTCCAGCAGACTCCATCTTTTATCTAGAGCTCCACAGGCTTGGAGCAGCTGCGTGTTACCTAGTCATAACAAAATGAGGTAGCTCGATGTGTGTGGATGTTGTTATGTGGTGCGTAACTAAAACAATCATTCAGACATAACTCTACCACAAGATTAATACAAGAAAACAATCGGTGTCATGGCTTACTGCTAACCTTGAAACAGAGCAGACTAGAGCAGACTTTGAATCTTACTAAACT